AATTCTTAGGATTAATCCTTACATCAATAGGATTAAAATTATAAGAACATATTATTTTAGAAGTAAAAGAAGTTCTAGATGAATTAACTGAAGTAAAACAATTTCAAAGTTTTTTAAGAATTCTTAATTATGGGAGAAATGACGTCAAAAATCCAACAAAATTAGAACTTCCCTTATTAGCAAAATTAAATAAAGATGTACAATTTTACTGGTCAAAAGAGGATACGAATTTAATTAAACAAATTAAAGAAAGTATTACAGTCATGCCTACAGTTTATTTACCTAAAAAATGAGATAAACTTATTCTGGAAACGGATGCCTCAGATTTATGTTGGGGATGTGTATTAAAAGCAATACCTTCTCAATTGTGGACCTAGTCCAAAGAAACAAATAGTTATGAAATTAAAAGTAGGAAAAAACCATATTTCCATAAAAACTCAGAAACATGAATTAATTTGTGGATAAAATTTTGGCAAATTTAAATATGTTGAAACAAGATATATTATTTTTGAAAAAGAACTTTTAGCAATAAAAATTGCTTTAAAAAGTTCCTGAATGCTTTATTGTTAGAACAAACAATCAAGCAGTAAAAGATTTTTTAGTTAACAAGAAAAATATTGAAGAAGGCCACCGACTTCGATGGTATAATGAAACTGCTACATATACTTTTGAAGTTGAACATTTAAAAGAAACTAATAATTTTCTTGCAGAATTTTTAAGCATAAATCACTAAACTAGTGTTTTCTCTTTTTTGCCATGAATAAGGGTAAACAGCCAGCTGACACTGACATAGAATGGGTGACAATTGCCAAAAAAGCAATCCCCAAAACATAAAAAGTTTAAGTTGTTTTTTTAGGTAGAAAATCTGGAATTTATACAAATTGAAAAGATTGCAATGCACAAGTTGGCAAACGCTAAAAATGCTTTCTATAGTGCTCTATTGATACCTATTTTTCAGCAGCTACAAACCAATCCAATCCCTATTGAATTTCAAAAATCTAAACTAGATGAATATGAAATTAAAGACTTTTTTAATCCTGATATTCCTAGAAAAATTTATAATGACTTAAATGGTGTGTGGAAAACCCACATTTCCAAAAACAAAAAAAGGTTTTAGATTACATACGTCTAATTTATCATTTCAATTAGTGGAACAAACCATTAAAATAAATGAGTTACAAAAACTTTGTTTCCAACTCATTAAACAAATGAATTGGGATCAAGATTTTAAATTTGAAAAAATAAAATTCTTCAAATTTCTGAATTCATAAACCATGAATATTCAGATCCCTCTTTTGAAACAATTAGAAGAATTTGTCTTTTTGAAAAAGTAAGAACAATTCTTCCATGTGAATTTTTTAGACTCATTAAAGATAAGTAGAAGACCATTGTGAAAGAATTAAACAAATTCTTTCCAAATCAATTGATAATATTAATTTACAAGATGATATTCCAAAAACCACATTAGATACCCAAGAATGGTTTTATGAGGATAATGATTGGAAGATCTCTGAAGAAATTGACTGGGGAATAACTAATCAAGTTATTCTTCAAAGTTCTTATCATATACAATGGAAAGATTTTCCAGAAATGATCAAGGCAATGCTCTTAAAAGCAATAAAAAATTACAAATGGAAAAATGTTTCACTTTTTGGATTGTCAACACCATTGGATGGCGTGAAAGGGAAAAATTCTATCAACCATATAAAATTTGTTACTTGAAAAAGACTGAAATTAGCTCATGCGGGACCATTAATAAATTAAAGAAAGAGGTTGTTAATCCTCATGAACTAGTTAATGTCTTATGTCCTGAATATTATTGGGTAGAAAGCCTAATATTGTTGTCCCAAGTGGCACAAAGCATAAAAAGTTACAGTGAATTGCCTTTCATGGTAACTGATGGAAGAAGACTATTTGTTACTATGGAGCCAATTTCATATACAAGAACTGCTACAAAACATAGTGAAGCAGAAGATTTTCTCAACAATCTAGCAAAAAGAAATTTGCTAGATTTTCCTTTAGATTTGGCAATGCAAACTGATGAAATGAAAGCTTTCAAAACACAATAATGGAGTCTACCACAAGATTCTCCATTATCAGAAAATTGTGTCTTTATGCACAATCTAGACAATATGATGGAAGCATAGTGGGCCGATGAAGACATATTGCAGATATACCGGATCGACTGCATCCTTATCCAACACACCTAGTAGCATCTGTAACAACAATAAAAAGATAAATATTAGCCAAATCTTATTCGAAACAATTTCACTTTTTCAAAAAACGAGAGAGGGGGACTGCATATGTATTTACTAGGCTTTGTATTTATTATATTGAAGACTTTTTTGTTTGTGAAAATACTTAGTGTAGAAAATTGGTGTAAGCCTACGACTAGGCCTTTAAACTTAAGTATAAAGAAATTAATAAGCCTAAGTGTAGGCTTTTTGACTTCTAGAATAATAGCTTTTTAGATTTTTGTTGATTGTATCTACGAATGTATTTTATAAATTAGCATTTAAGCCAATATAATAGAGCATTGTAAATTCTCAAAAACTCCCTCATCTTTTGCTTACATTACCCCCACAATTAGTTATTATAGACCTATTTTGGGTTTGTCTCGATTATCCAAACTATTTATTTTGTAGAGATAATAAAATTTTAAATGTATTCAAATAAATGTGATTCGATTGAGTGGTTCCTGATGTTTAATTAACCTGATTTTGGTATGCATTATCTTTCAAAGAGTCTTACAAAATAAGCAGTTTAGATTAGTGAGACGGACCCAAATAGACTTACTGTAGGTCGGACTATACCATACAGTTGGGATTTTTTTTAATGCCATATATTCATGGAGAATTACAAATCAGTGGAGAAAATAAAAAATTAAAAAAGCTTATGATTTTAATTATTAATATTTATAATATTTATCACATACATATATATATATATATATATATATATTTTTTTTTCTTTCCACGGTTATATAATTCTCCCTATATTAGTTTAGTATGTTATTGGTTCAACACACTACTAAGGAGTCCTAAAAAAAAAAAAAAATTGCTCCTACATGCGTTCTAGATCTATGAAGCACGGATACGGAAACGAGTACTGGTACTAATATGATACAGGTACGTCGATACAGTAAAATCCAAAAAAGTAGAATACGGGTACAGCTTGGTACGCTTGTTAAAAAATATTTAATTTTAATTTAGAGTAATGCAAAAATTAATTAAATAATTTAATTTGTTAAGATCCAACCTATAATTAACATTTAATGCCAAAAGTAAAAGTACAAATTAAAATTAAATGTCAATATATTAAATAACTTACAAACCATAGTTTAATTTTAAAATAATGCTAAGTATAAAACTAAAAATAAAAAATAAGTCTAGTGTAAATGAGTTTGGGTGAATTACACTAACAGTTTCTATAGTTTGGAGCTTTTATCATTTTGGTCATTGACTTTTCAATTGTGACACATTTTATCCTGAATTTTGAATCTTATTCTAAATAAGGACAATTGAAAATATCATTGCTCAATTTCAAGGGCAAAGTCGTCAATTTGATAAAATATAAACTAATTTTAAAAAAATAAATGTCAAAAAAATATTTTTGAATTTTTAAAAATAATTCCTACCCACCAAAGATAAATTTATATAAAATTGATAAATCTTTTAGATATTTATTTATTTATTTATTTATTATCAAATTAATTTTTATTATGTGTTTGGATGATGATGATATAATAGGTGATTACTAAGCTTTTAATGTATAATCAATATATTTAATATATGAAATAATTTTAATTTTTAATTTTTTGATTTAATAAATTGGTTTAATAATGATATTAAAGTTATTGTCATATTTGACATTTGAAAAATAGAAACTAATTTAATGAAAATAAAAACAATCATCCATTATATGATCTTCATCCAAACACATAATAAAAATTAATTTGGTAAAATAAATAAATAAATGATATTTAAAAAATTTATCAATTTTACATAATTTTATCTTTAGTGGGTAGAAATAAATTTTAAAGATTCAAAAATATTTTACTGACATTTATTTTTGTCAAATTTGTTTATATTTTATCAAATTGACGATTTTGTCCTTAAAATTGAACAATGGTATCTTCAATTGTCCTTATTTGGAACAAGATTCAAAATTCATGGTCAAATGTGTCACAATTGAAAAGTAAGGGACCAAAGTGACACAAGGTTCAAACTATAGGGACCATTAGTATAATTCGCCCAATGAGTTTTATCTCTATAGTAGAAGAAAATATTATTTCAACTGAGGTACGATACGAGTTAGGTATTTACTAGGTACATCTAGATATGACAAAAATTAAGAAGAAAAAATTTGAGTACGTGTTTCGTGTTCCCAATACGTATACAGAAGTATCATACAGGGTATCACATATCAATAAACACCCAATACGAATACGGCATGTTTTTCGAAATACTCATACTTCATAGTCTTAGATACTTGCAGATAATTACATGTAATGTAAAAACCATTCTGTTTTGTTCGGCAAACAATATTTCTTAGATTTTGTTTTAAAATTTTTTTACTTTCTGATGTTTGGTTAATGAAAGATCAAAATCCATAAAAATAAAAATCATTTTTAAAATTTTTTTGAGCAGAAAAATTATTTTTTTATGATCAACGGATAATAAACTTATTTAAATGAAAAATATTTTTACTTTAAAAAGGTATAAAAATTATTTGAGGGAAATATTGTTTACGTTTAAAATATAAATAATTTCTTAAATTAAAATTTATCACCGCACTGCAACTGCCATTTATATATACCATAGCATTTCCAGCGTCATCATCTCCTCCGCCGCCACTACCACCAACCACCACCTTCACCCCGTTGCTTCCACCACCACAACCCACCCCATCATGAATATAATTATTAATAGTTTTTCCTTTATTTGAATTTTCATAGCATTTTTCATTGTGCAACTATAAATACATGTCTCCCTCAACCTTATATTCATCCCATAGTACAACTCTCTTCTATCCACACACTTTGTTCCAAAATGGTATCATTCAATTTCAAAACCTACTTACTGACAATCATTCTGGCCGGAATTCTCGCCGGTGGTATCCTACCGGAAATCGTAGTGGGTCAGAACTGTGGTTGTGCAGCAGGTCTTTGCTGCAGCCAGTATGGGTATTGTGGCACTGGCAATGCCTACTGTGGTGCAGGCTGCAGATCAGGGCCTTGTACCGGTTCCAACGGTGCTTCGGTCTCTAATATTGTGACACAGTCCTTTTTCAATGGGATAATCAATCAAGCTTCTGCTGGATGTGCAGGGAAAAGCTTCTACACCAGGTCTGCGTTTCTTAAAGCCATCGGTTCCTACCCTTCATTCGGCACTACTGGAACTACTGATGATTCTAAGCGCGAAATTGCTGCTTTCTTTGCACATGCCACGCATGAGACTGGACGTAAGATTTCTGCATCGCTTTCTCCCAATCCACACATATGATTTCACAGTATTAACTATTTTTCGTTTCTAAATTATACAGGTTTCGCCACTTCTAGATTTTTGTTTTTAAATTTTAAGTGGACATCTCCTGTAGATTTATATATTTATTAAACTCAAGTTGTCGTCTATCTAATTTCTCATAGTCTTAATGTATAGAGAAGAAAAAACGGTGGAAGAGTCGGCAAGTTAATTGATCATATTGATATGTCCGCCCCTTTTAGAATTCTGGGTCCGTCCCTGTTTGCTGGAGGAGTGAAATGAATATCACACATAACTAACACAAATTTTTTTTTTTTATTATTGGCAGATTTTTGCTATATTGAAGAGATAAATGGTGCCTCTAGGAACTACTGTGACAGTTCAAATACCCAATACCGATGTGCACCAAACAAGAAATACTATGGAAGAGGTCCTCTTCAGCTGTCATGGAACTACAACTATGGTCCTGCAGGCAGAAGCATTGGGTTCGATGGACTAAACAACCCCGAAATTGTGGCAAAAGACCCAGTTGTGTCATTCAAGACAGCCTTGTGGTTTTGGATGAACAATGTTCACTCTAAAATGAATTCTGGATTTGGTGCAACAATTCGTGCCATTAACGGTGACCTTGAGTGCAATGGTAAAGACTCGAATTCAGTCAGTGCTCGTGTTAAGTACTACACTGACTATTGCAACCAATTTGGCGTTTCTCCTGGTAATAATCTCCGCTGCTAGGATGCTAACAAAAATCAGCAGACATGGAAGCTAGCTCTTCAGTACCTTGTAATAAATTTGGCATACATGGAAGAAAAATAAATTGTAGTAATACTTCTGAAACGAATAAAAAGAGCTCTGGGTACATGTTTGGTCCTAATATAAAAATCTCCACATACCAATGTTAAGTAATATATTGGCACTGCAATCCTAACTCAAAAATTATATTCACTTTTTAAACCGATTAATAATGTGATAATCAGTTAGAATATCAAAGGTAATTTTCTTTGATATATTCTCTAATTATTAGTTAATCATTTCTTTTACACATCATTGAGTCTAAAAAATGAATCCTAAAAAAATGAATCTAAAGAATGAACTTGTATATCATTTATATATATATAGATTGTGACCATTGTTTTTTTTTTTTTTTTGGGTTTCTGGTTCATTATTACCATTTTTTTGTGTTTTGAAATATCACCACTGCCCTAATATAAAATCTCCACATACCAATCTCAACCAGCCTCTTTTGAGCCATCTATGAGCCATTGCATGATATGGTCTCATGAAAAGGGCGGGCGACACATATTGATGTTGCAACGGGAGAGAAGAGGAAGCATGGTGACGAGGGAGATGATGCTATGGAGATTGACAAGTTTTGGTGGAAAAGAATGCAAAGTACGACATTGGTATTGGGATTAATCGAGCTGCACATAAACTGCTCAAACACCCTGTCATTAAAAATAAAGTATGACATTGGTACCGAACCCCTAACCATCTTGATGAACAAACCGCAGATTATGGGTACTATTTTAAAATTAAACCATGATACCACGAATTAGGATCTTCTCCTTGAGGTTCCTTCTTGATTTCTTACTTGCTGGGCCATTGGGCCCACTTTTAGGCTCAATTTCGATAATCCAAACCGTTCACATTTTAAAATTTGTTGAGTATATCATACCTATAAAAAATTAAGTTGATTGAATATCAGAAAACATGTGTTCTGATCATCGAACTAAAAACTATCTCTTAAAAAAATTTAATAAACAGTTTTCCGAGCACATGCTTTCTGATATCCGATCAACTTGATTTTTTACAGGTATGATATACTCAACAAATCTTAAAATGTGAACGGTTCGAATTATCGAAATTGGACCTAAAAGTGAGCCCAATGGCCCAGCAAGTAGGAAGTCAAGTAGGAACCTCAAGGAGAGGATCCTGATTCATGATACCACATGTATGTGTGTGCGAACTCTAAATTACAGCAATATTATACATTTATAAAAAAAAATCTACAAAATTATTTAGAAAAATAAATTAATTGACTGTATTGTTAGATTTATTTTCTAGTATGGCCCAATAGCCTACATATTTTTTTATATGTTTTATTTTATTTGGACTCCACAATTAAATAAAGCCAATATTTGAGATGAAGTAAAGTAATTAGAATTTTAATATAATTACTCTTCTAAGATAAGAAGGAAATCTTGATGGATAGAAGTTCTTCTAATAGAGTTTATCTGGCCCTCTTCTCTCCTCTATATAAGGATGGGTGACTCCCTTTTCATATGATAAGTATTTTTCCATCATTCTAAGTTATATAGTCATCCTAATTAAGAGAGATGGAGAGAAGAATTTGAGCCAAGAATTCAAGGTTCAACTATTAGGGGTATTTTCTCAACTTCTCTAATTCAATAGCTGACAAAGGTATATTCGTTTTATTTTTGAGTTGTATTGAATTCAAGATCCTGTAAAGTCCAATTCCGCATTATTGTTATGGTTACACGTATGTTAACATTTACATGTGGTATCCGAGCCAAGTTTTGTGAATCAATACACCTTGGAATATTAAATATCTAATATTTATTATCATCAATTGTATATATTATTAATGAAAATTTTGTAGTAAAACTTTAATGTTAATCGTGAGTCGTTATTCCATTTTGTTTGTTGCTTCTTGGTTACTTGTAAAGGATTTTTTCAAATATTCTAAACTAATTTGAATTTTTGACCCTATACACCACCACATTGTGATCCCCAAAGTTTTAAGCATTGCAGCTTTGTCAGCCATATTGAGGATGCGATCCTGAACTCCTCGGTTGCTATCATATTTCATAGTTGTCAATTCAGCCATAATAGTGCTAGCAAGTGACTTGTCAGAAGATCTAAGTCGATCTTCAACAGCCTTTAAGTATTCCAATGCATTAACAGTTTCAGGTAAGAAGGTCTTGATGTTTTTGCAATGGTCATCTTCATGACCATCAAACTGAGTTTGTTGGATCTTTTCCAAGATTCAGAAAGGGCAACTTGTTCTGTAGTACTATATTCATTAATGTTTGTAGGTTTATCTTCTAGCAATGCCATATCGAGGTTCAACACACCCAGTGTAAACTGAACATGTTCATACCATTCCGAAAAATTCGAGCCAGTAAGTAGAGGGACGCCCGATACAAGAGAGTGCAATGAGATGGGAACTATCACTGAAATAAGATAGAACAATATACATATTAAAGCTTTGAGAATTATAATGATGAAATATTGATATCACATAAGTCTTTCCTTTGGGCAAAACTTAGGTATATCTATTATCCACTCGTTAAGAAACACTTACGTAGGTCTAAAGTAATTTATGCAATTTTTTAGTTGTGTTTTGAAATATCACCACTGCCCTAATATAAAATCTCCACATACCAATCTCAACCAGCCTCTTTTGAGCCATCTATGAGCCATTGCATGATATGGTCTCATGAAAAGGGCGGGCGACACATATTGATGTTGTAACGGGAGAGAAGAGGAAGCATGGTGATGAGGGAGATGATGCTATGGAGATTGACAAGTTTTGGATGGAAAAGAATGCAAAGTATGACATTGGTATTGGGATTAATCGAGCTGCACATAAACTGCTCAAACACCCTGTCATTAAAAATAAAGTATGACATTGGTACCGAACCCCTAACCATCTTGATGAACAAACCGCAGATTATGGGTACTATTTTAAAATTAAACCATGATACCACGAATTAGGATCTTCTCCTTGAGGTTCCTTCTTGATTTCTTACTTGCTGGGCCATTGGGCCCACTTTTAGGCTCAATTTCGATAATCCAAACCGTTCACATTTTAAAATTTGTTGAGTATATCATACCTATAAAAAATTAAGTTGATTGAATATCAGAAAACATGTGTTCTGATCATCGAACTAAAAACTATCTCTTAAAAAAATTTAATAAACAGTTTTCCGAGCACATGCTTTCTGATATCCGATCAACTTGATTTTTTACAGGTATGATATACTCAACAAATCTTAAAATGTGAACGGTTCGAATTATCGAAATTGGACCTAAAAGTGAGCCCAATGGCCCAGCAAGTAGGAAGTCAAGTAGGAACCTCAAGGAGAGGATCCTGATTCATGATACCACATGCATGTGTGTGTGAACTCTAAATTACAACAATATTATACATTTAAAAAAAAATCTACAAAATTATTTAGAAAAATAAATTAATAGACTGTATTGTTAAATTTATTTTCTAGTGTGGCCAAATAGCCTACATATTTTTTATATGTTTTATTTTATTTATACTCCACAATTAAATAAAGCCAATATTTGAGATAAAGTAAACTAATTAGAATTTTAATATAATTACTCTTCTAAGATAAGAAGGAAATCTTGATGGATAGAAATTCTTCTAATACAGTTTATCTGGCCCTCTTCTCTCCTGTATATAAGGATGGGTGACTCCTCTTTCATATGATAAGTATGTTTCCATCACTCTAAGTTACATAGTCATCCTAATTAAGAGAGATAGAGTGGAATTTGAGCCAAGAATTCAAGGTTCAACTATTAGGGGTATTTTCTCAATTTCTCTAATTCAATAGTTGACAAAGGTATATTCGTTTTATTCTTGAGTTGTATTGAATTCAAGATCCTGTAAAGTCTAATTCCGCATTATTGTTATGGTTACATGTATGTTAACATTTACATGTGGTATCCGAGCCAAGTTTTGTGAATCAATACACCTTGGAATATTAAATATCTAATATTTATTATCATCAATTGTATATATTATTGATGAAAATTTCGTAGTAAAACTTTAATGTTAATCATGAGTCGTTATTCCATTATGTTTGTTGCTTCTTGGTTACTTGTAAAGGATTTTTTTCAAATATTCTAAACTAATTTGAATTTTTGACCCTATACACCATTACATCGCAATCCCCAAAGTTTTAAGTGTTGCAGCTTTGTCCGCCATATTGAGGATGCGATCCTGAACTCCTCGGTTGCCATCATATTTCATGGTTGTCAAATCAGCCATAATAGTGCTAGCAAGTGACTTGTCAGCAGATCTAAATCGATCTTCAACAGCCTTTAAGTATTCCAATGCATTAACAGTTTCAGGTAAGAAGGTTTTGATGTTTTTGCAATGGTCATCTTCATGACCATCAAACTGAGTCTGTTGGACCTTTTCCAAGATTCAGAAAGGGCAACTTGTTCTGTAGTACTATATTCATTAATGTCTGTAGGTTTATCTTCTAGCAATGTCATATCGAGGTTCAACACACCAAGTGTAAACTGAACATGTTCATACCATTCTGAAAAATTCGAGCCAGTAAGTAGAGGGACGCCCGATACAAGAGAGTGCAATGAGATGGGAACTATCACTGAAATAAGATAGAACAATATACATATTAAAAATTTGAGAATTATAATGATGAACTATTGATATCACATAAGTCTTTCCTTTGGGCAAAACTTAGGTATATCTATTATCCACTCGTCAAGAAACACTTACGTAGGTCTAAAGTAATTTATACAACTTTTTAGTTAGTCATGTTACCTTTAGGTATTCAATTCTAATCTGTCAAATTACATAAGTTACATTACCTTACCCAGTTCATAATTATTTGAAAGTGACTGTCCTTTTAGCTAGTCTTAATCTCCTGCAATTGAGAATATTATCGACCTTAATGTTACCCTTTTAACAATTATTTTATGTAGTTCTATATTCATAAGTTTTACAAATCTACGCCATTTTGGCAGCTACTAAATTAGTAAACCTTATGAATACGGAACAAACCAACAATATTCTCTATTCATTAATTTGAGTTATTTAATTATCATTAATTCAATCACTATTTTTATGATTTCTAGAATTTCTTTTATGTGATTGC